ACTTTATTAAATTATCACACAACGATATCACAAATGATTTTGTGTGATTTATGATTTATTGTGTTTTACGAAACGCCCTATTAATAGCCGGGCGTGTAATTATTTCTGCAACAAGACTGATACCTAGCTATCTTCACGTGACGTCATTACTCATTAGCCGGGCCAGGATGCGCGCCGTGATTTATTTATCGACGTCAAAATGTATGGGCAAAATCCGCTTATCACTTAACACTTACAGGTTTTGTGGTGAAATTTATTATTCTCAATCTCGTTTTTCTTATGAAGTGTCAAATTAATTGTAATCTGTTTTATGTCTTGATATGACAAAAGAAAATACTTAAAGTATGGAGAACGTACCTTTCAAAAACAAAATTGTCTCCTCGGCGAAGCTGCTAACTTAATCCACTCACACCCATTGAGTTATAATGTACTACGCTAGTAATATTGCTTCAATGCTCACACCAGTGTTATAATATCACTGCATTGGCTTGATCTGCGAATGTAAAATTGAAAGAAATTAGTATTATAATTATCATACACAATGTTTTATTTATGTATTACTTAACACATTATTATGTATTAGAATAGGTAGTTATCTACGTGATTGCTACCTTGTACCTTTTTATTTACAAGCCTCCAATATTTTTGGAAAGTAACTGTTATTGTAAGGGCCATAATCACGGAGTAACTGAAGATCTTGCGGGTGAGATGTTATTGGCTGACGTATGATCGGTCTACCCTCTTTCGCAGTTTTGTAATACGATCGCCTACAGTACCACTGTTCACCAACTCACTATTTTCTCGCAACACTCAGGCTGAGTAGCACCACCTTATTTAACCGTAACAATAGCCGGTGCTTTCTCAGCCTAACTGATAGTATCTGACTGTTACTTTTAATAACGATCTTCAGTAACTTTTATAACTCTATTCAAAGACAAATAAATATTCTATTTCTATTTCATCTAAATCTACCCCCTAATAATTAGGTACTCTTAGCACGGGCTGTCAATCACCTGTGTCCATATCAATATAAACTGGCATGTGGAAGGTAGTAAGAAAACATTATTCCACTATTATAATTATATCTAAAGAATCTACACTTGAAGAGAAGAGGAGGCCTTCACATTTGCATGAAACAGGTACACAATTTAACCCGAACGGTAATCTCCAAAGGAGTACCTATTAAACGCGCACAAGTCAGAACCACAGTCAGAACTATGCACTGAAGTCAATGCAATTATAAGATTATTCAACCACAAAAAACTGATATATTTTATGTTTGAAAAAGGCAAAGGCGTTCGTTAGCCATAAAAATCCGCGTAATATGTCAGAATTTCACCAAAGGCGCTTTAGTTAGGTACACAGCCTATAGCATATACTGGAACCAGCGATCCTGTATTCACGGTGGCGCCCCCCTGTAAATGAGATTGGTGGGACCAACTCATTTACCTACTTACCAACTCAAGTATTACTCATTTACCCACTTTATACCTACTCATTTACCTACTTACCTACTCATTAATGCTTATTTTCTAGTACCTACTATTTAAGAACACTTTTTGTATTATTAATAATAATTTGTAATATTATTCCATTTTCTTCCCTAAACTGTGAATTTTTGACGAATTTTAATATCTAATTACTACATGTGATATATCATTGAAAAGAAGAGAAGCTAGATATGTTTTTATGATCATTGGCAATCTATTATCACCTTTAGTCCATCACCATCCTGTAATACTCATGTTTATGAATGAATAAAAGATTATGATTATGATTATGATTAGTTTTTTTTAATCGAATTCTAAGTTGAATTTTTTATCGTGCTTTTTACTTTTGTTAAACTTTGGCGACTCGTAACTAGCTATCCAATCATTATCTAGATAGCGGTTGAAAACAACCGAGAAAAACATTGAAGCAGTTTTAGATCAAACTTTGGAAAAAAATTAATAAAAACAAAAATATCAATTAAAAGAAAAGTAGCCCACTTAGGGTCAAATGGGCGAATTTGTATTCTTAAAATGACCTTACCTATACACCCACGAAGTTTGTCTAACGTTCCGCCAAACACTCTGTATAGTTTTTTAGGATATTTTATACGGGATTATATTCGAAAGCGATTGTCCCCGTTGGTAAATCAAAGGCTTTATTGCTTGAGCATTCGCCTCGTCATCCTCATGAAAGCTCTTATAGCGGTTGTGTAGATGATTATAATCTGAAGAATATCCTGCAAATAACTATTCTCCTACCATTAAGAAAGTGTCAAATTGAACTAATATTAGAACCAATGTCCCACTGACCCTCGCGCAAAATGCCATACGAGCCGGAGTTGGAGCCGACAGCCGCCGCAGCGCGCGCCGGCGCAGCAGGCCCGCTCCGCCGCCGCACCACAACTGCACCACACCACCGCCACACCTCCTGCAGCCGGATCTCCACAAGTCGCGTGGAGTACCTGGATGCGGGCAGCGCAGGATTGGTCGGTCTTTGTGGAAATCTTTGGGGGAGGTCGTTGTGGAAAGCGTTTGGCCAGCAGTGGACGTAATTTGGCTGAACTGAACGAATGTAGCTTTATCTGGATGCTGGCTCTGAGTTCTCGTGTATAGTTGGTAATACCGTTCTATTCATATTTAGATATTTATTTTAAAAAAATAGTAAGCTAGTTACATAGTGTTAACTAGAGAGCTAAGGTGTGTTTTCTTTTTAGTAGGTATAAATCGTTTTATAAGTTTGTATCCCTACCTCATTTTTGAATTAAAAATGCTTAGGGTCGAGTTTTTAATAGTTCTAAGTATAGTAATAATGTCTGAAAACTAGGTACCTATTCTGTCCAAACATTGGAATTAAAATGTCAAGTGACCTACTGAACAATTTGCATTGAAACTACTGTGCTGCCATTCATTATAAACGCACGCAAACGATGCGCAGTCGCCAGCAAAAGGTCACCATGTCGACACCAAATCAATGCTCTGTGACATAATCCGCGGGTGCTTTCTTTCTGATCATAGCATAGTAGCGGCAGATCCAGTGACTTCACGTGATGTCCACAACTTCACACTGCGCCATGATAGGATTGCGTGGCAGGGATGCCAGCGAATCTGCTCTTAAATAACTATAGGCAATGAATTGATGAATTTTAATTTTTGCGACGGGTCTGGGTGTTTTCTATGTATAATATGTATTTATTTACAAAAAAAGGTATTTAAGTATAATGTTTATATCCGTTGTCTAAACCCGTTGTCTTCCCTTGTCTAACCCGTTGTCTAGTACCCATAGTACAAGCTTTGCTTGACAATGACAGAATTGCCAGACGAAATTTTAATTGGTTTAGATCTTTTTTCGATTGCGAACTACCGATAAAGGTATTGTTTGCCACATTTTAATACCTTAAGTGGAAGAATGGCATTATTAGGTCACCTGCGGTTGGTCGGTATGCTGAGCTTTCTGCATCAAAGTCCACTGTGTCTGCGCCCTGCCTCCGACACTAATAATTACGACTGTTAAATACCTACTGACAGTAGAGACTTTATTTTAAATCATTTCGGTTGGCACGCAAATATAAGTTTTATTCCACTCGAAGGTTTTTATTATGTGACCACTATTGGTCTTCTATCATTAGCATTACGTTGATGCCTCGTTGACTATGAACTAGGGATATTTCTAATTGCTAACCCTGCCGGGTTGCACCATCTTACATTAACTACGAGTATAATAAACGTCAAAAGTTTGTCAAAATCCATACAAAAACACCGGATGTAGTTATAGTTACCGTTACGGTTAAAGTTAAGGTGGTGCAACTAAGGCAGAACACACGGAGCACGGACACGCCACTTGCACCAGTCCTTCAAACCATACATTACATTACAGAATTTGATTCTTTACTCATGTGGTATCAATGCGTGGTGAACTGGTGAAGAAGTAGTAACTAAGTACTCGCTAGAGCTAAGAGCTGTGTATCTCTGGAAGAATATATAATCGCAGGACATTAGACACACTATTGATGAATATTTGTTTGGCAATAGTAATTGAAATAAAGGTTTAAGGTGTATTAATAAGTACTCACCTATCACCATGAATATGGTTTCTTACATACTTACTTCTCGCTGCTGTTTGTTTTCTTTGGTGCATGTCGTAAATTTAGGTACTGAATGCTTTAAAAAACTATTTTCAAATTAAAGTTAACTACGAATGAACTAGGTAGTGAATTACGCTTTAAAAAACTATTTTCAAATTAAAGTTAACTACGAATGAACTAGGTAGTGAATTACGAATTGAGTCAAAGTCGAGACTATTATTTTTGGTCTATAAATTTGGACAATTTGATCCTTAAAAGTGGTAGGTTTATAGACGACTGGTGCTATTAATTATTCAAGATCTAAGAATACAGAAAGTATCTGAGATGCAGTATCAAAATTAAGATGGGTATCTTAAGTGGGTAGGTACTTAAGCCAAAGTATAATAACTGCGGCGGAAAAGATTAGGATACAGATTATAGGCTACCTTTGTCACTTTTTTGACGATTTTAGGTGCGAAATCTTGGTCTACACTGAGTAAAAAGCCATTAATTCATTTCATTTCACTGCGTAAGTTTGGAGAAGCTATGTATGTCGGACGAGCAAGAGTAATCTCAAGCTTGTCAAATATGGAGTAAAGTAAAAATGGTCATACCATGGGAATTGTTAGCGGTAGAACGTGAGGACTCTAGTGGTTGAACTGGAACCAGAACAACACCATATTTACCAAGTATGCCACAAGTAACTTCGGCAAAGTGCAGTTCTCTATCTTGCGATCGAAAGTAGGTTGCAGATTCACTGTCGCGGTGACAATGCTTCCGCGTGCGTGTGCGTGTTGCGTGCACGTGCAGTCGAATAGAATCTATTTTTCGATCGCGATGTAATTAGCAGCGGCGATGCTCTTAAATGGCAGTCGCGGGCGCCGGCGGCGCGGGCGGACTCGCCTTGTAGGGCGGCGGAGCGCGAGCCAGCGCCGCCGCCGCCGCTAAATAGCCGCGCGCCGCCCGCCGCCGCCCACTGACGCACCCGCCGCCGCTGCGCCCGCGCCGTGAGTCCACTCTCCTACTTGCCGCGCTGCCTGCCTGACTCAGTCCAAAATATAACAGTGATCCATTAACATTGGCTTTTAATACAGTGGCAGTTTCGCTTTCATCGGTGCGGATAAGTGCTGAGTGTCAGTAACCGGTGTTGTCGTTGTTCCAGGTAAAGGAGCGCTTGTATCGTGTCTTGTGAAACGTAAGAGCGTACCCGAGCGACCATGTGTGACGACGATGCGGGCGCGCTGGTCGTAGACAACGGCTCCGGCATGTGCAAGGCCGGCTTCGCGGGCGACGACGCGCCGCGCGCCGTGTTCCCGTCCATCGTGGGCCGCCCGCGCCACCAGGGCGTCATGGTGGGCATGGGGCAGAAGGACTCCTACGTGGGAGACGAGGCCCAGAGCAAGAGAGGTATCCTCACTCTCAAGTACCCCATCGAGCACGGCATCATCACCAACTGGGACGACATGGAGAAGATCTGGCATCACACCTTCTACAATGAACTGCGCGTCGCCCCCGAGGAGCACCCCATCCTGCTGACCGAGGCCCCTCTCAACCCCAAGGCGAACAGGGAGAAGATGACACAGATCATGTTCGAGACCTTCAACTGCCCCGCCATGTACGTCGCGATCCAGGCCGTGCTGTCTCTATACGCCTCCGGTCGTACCACGGGTATCGTGCTGGACTCCGGCGATGGTGTGTCCCACACGGTCCCCATCTATGAAGGTTATGCGCTGCCCCACGCCATCCTCAGGTTGGACCTGGCCGGTCGCGATCTCACGGACTACCTCATGAAAATCCTCACCGAGAGGGGCTACTCCTTCACGACCACCGCTGAGAGGGAAATCGTGCGTGATATCAAGGAGAAGCTATGTTACGTAGCTTTAGACTTCGAGCAGGAAATGCAAACCGCGGCAGCCTCCACGTCACTGGAGAAGTCCTACGAGCTGCCCGACGGTCAGGTGATCACCATCGGCAACGAGAGGTTCCGTTGCCCGGAGGCGCTGTTCCAGCCCTCGTTCCTGGGCATGGAGTCGTGCGGCATCCACGAGACCGTGTACAACTCCATCATGAAGTGCGACGTGGACATCCGAAAGGACCTGTACGCCAACACGGTGCTCTCCGGCGGCACCACCATGTACCCCGGTATCGCCGACAGGATGCAGAAGGAGATCACGGCGCTCGCGCCCTCCACCATCAAGATCAAGATCATCGCGCCGCCCGAGAGGAAGTACTCCGTGTGGATCGGCGGCTCCATCCTGGCCTCGCTGTCCACGTTCCAGCAGATGTGGATCTCCAAGCAGGAGTACGACGAGTCGGGCCCCGGCATCGTGCACCGCAAGTGCTTCTAAGCCTCCCCCGCCTCGCCCGAGCGTTACCCAAGCGCACTTTTTCATTTGCTTTTATAAAATTTTATACTTTCAAAGTGAATATGTATTTATTTTATATGATTTGATGGAGACTGGACGCTCTTGCGTTACGTTGTAAGTGAGCTAAATATAAGTTTTTGTGGTTTAATTATAATTTCGTTACGTTAATGGTGAGTTTTTTTTTTCTTACCCTCGACACACATGCACAATGTAATGCTTCAATGAGTCACCGACTCGACAGCGTTGCCCATATTAGGCGTGGTGTAGACGTGGCGATGGCAGGTATAAATAAACAAACGAGTGCGATCGAGTGCAGTTTAATTTAGTATCGATGCAGCGGCCAATTGTCTCGGCGGCAACAATGCACCCGCCTCCCCGCGCCCGCGCCGCCCCGTCGCGGCTACACGATGATTAGAAAGCTATTAAAAGAACACATCAATAAATAGAAACATTACACTCATGTCAATCACACGTGAAATATGATTAATAGACTAGAATAGAGACTCATAATCATAGTAGGTACACCTGAAGACTTTTTGGCACCTGTTGTTAGTTGCAAGATGTCTCTATCCAGCTATTAATACCATTAATTGAATATAGTATTGAGGTTTCAGCCCTTTAGTAGCAATAGAAAATTGTACTGACGCACAGTTTAAAATAAAGAATGTTTGCCAATAGGTACAATGTAATAAAATTGTTCTACGCTTTGTAGGCACAAAATAACTTTACCTCTCGTGTAAAACATTTTAATGATACGGAAAATAATACACTATGTTTCTGTAACACTGTTATATTTTTCAGTTACAAAACATTTACATAATTGTGGTACTTAATTATACATAATATATTTACAACTATATACAAATTAAACATAGCAGTTTGTTTTAGGAATAATTTAGTAAACACTCAGTTTTAGTTTTGTGAGCTAGCACACTCGAGGCTTCAAGCGGGAGGTGCCGGGAGTACGGTCAAACACGACAAAAGCAGATGCACTCATCGATGACACACACACTAATTGAAATAAAGTTCTGAACTTCTGAGAGAAGAAATGTAAGTAGTTAATTCTAGAACTAGTTAACAAATCTAGAAGTTGACAGAAAGCGTACATAAGAATGTCTTAAATAGAACAATAATTTAAGGTTCACTCTGTTTATTTGCTGCTGGTGTAGAGACTGTGTTATCATAATGCATAAAGTGTAAAGCTTTGGGTTAAATAAATCAATCGGGTAATAAATGAATCAGCTTTGGAAGGATAAAAACCTACATAATGTTTTTTTATTAAAATTAACTACTTATTTTTATTCATTCTGACTTCAATTCAGTATGCAAACTTAAGTAAGTGTCAATGTTATCCAGTCGTAGTGACGATATCGCGGATCGCGTGCATATTATGATTTAAATAAATACACATATGTACACATTACACTACCTACATTATTATGTACACAACGAACAACACGTAACACGTATTCGGCCAACACATTGGCCGTGCAACGCAACTATAAGGAAGTTCAGCACCAATCTTGCGGGGAGTCGCGCGCCGAGCGGCGCCGCGCCAGCGCCGCCAGCAGCCGGCAGCGCGCGGCGGGCGCGGCGGCTCACAGCAGCCGCGTGTCGGGGGGCGCGTCGTCGTCGCTGTCCACGCACTCGAAGCGGATGTGGCGGCCGTTGGAGCGGCGGCGCTCGGCGTCGGAGGCGGGCTCGGGCGCCGCCGCCGCCGCCTCGCCGCCCGCCGCCAGTCACACCTTGTCCTCGCCGGCGCCCGGCGCCCCCGAGCGCACGAACTGCAACACAGGGCGGTCACTCGCGGCCGTCGCACGCGCACTCCAGCAGCCGCCGGCGGGCACTCACCGAGACCGTGGTGTTGGTGGTGGAGTTGGCGCGCGGCCGGAACGTCAGCACGCGCCAGCGCCGCCGCAGCTGCGCCAGCACCTCGCCGTTGCAGAAGCAGTACAGCACGGCCACGCACAGCCCCTGCAGCGACGTGCTCAGCGCCGACACGTACTCGTAGGCCAGCCAGTAGCGCGCCGTGCGCGGCGGCCGGAAGGGCGTCAGCAGGTACTGCAGGCCCAGCAGCGGCGCCAGCAGGCACGTGGCGCGCAGCGCGTGCAGCGCCGTGGCCGAGGGCCGCTGCGAGCCCGCGCCGCCGCCCACGCCGCCGCCGGCGCGCAGCTTGGTGCACAGCACGCGCACGATGTTGCACAGGAAGCCGAGATTGAGCAGCACGGCCACGCACACCAGCACGGCCAGCTCGGGCCGCGGCGCGCCCTCGTCGGCCCAGCACAGCGGCTCGGCGCCCAGCGCGCGGCGCGCGGCGTGCACGGCGGCGAAGGGCGCCGGCAGCAGCCAGCCGGCCGCCAGCAGCGCGCGCACCAGGCGCCGCTCCGACACGAAGGCGCTCACCAGCACCGTGTGCAGGTACAGGCCCTCGCACAGCATCCACGTGTAGTTGGTGAGCAGCGCGTACTGCAGCGCGGCGTTGAGCGCGCGGCACCAGGCGGGCGACGCGGCCAGCGTGGCGGGCGCGCGCACCACCAGCGCGTACCACGCCAGCCACAGCGCGTTGTTGAGCGCGAACGACGCGAACAGGTTCATGTGCACCGTGATCCGCGCGCACCGCAAGCTCCTGCGCACCCAAGTTACGGAAGGTTATCTCTGATCGATCGAGTTTCCGGGGAGACAGTGAAAACTTTGAAACACTCACTTGAAGTAGGATAGTATCCCGAGCGACAGGAGAAGCGCGATTAATGAGACGCTGTAACCAGTCTCGTACACCACGATGATGTCACTGACATCCTGCGAACATTAAGAATTATGCAATGTTATAATTAATTATTAGGTGTCAATTACGGAGAGAAGAGTCAAAATGTTACCGACATCTTCGGGCTTGTAGCAGGTGGTGTAGTTGGACCAGGGGTTGCCGGTCTGCGGGTGGCGCCACCAGGTGCCGTTGGCGGTGCACTCCTTGTGCGCGAGTACTATGGCAGAGAGGACAGCGAGTTCGGTAAGTAAAAAACGCTTATACGATCTGACGATATAATTTGGGTTTGTCAATGGAAAGAAAAATAATCATATACTCGTACATTCCTGCCTAAACTCTGCTGCTCTGACAAACTTTGACTATAAAATTCCTATAGATTTTTTCTTTAAACGAGAACTTTTAATGGTAAGAACGCAAAAGTACAGTCGCTTGTATTAAACTTCCTTCAACGTAGTAAGCTGAGCTAAAACTAAAACCTTCCGTGCTAGCTCAATCTAGGTACTTGTGCACATGATCTTGAGGACAAACGTCTATGGCGTAATGTCGAAGAAATCACATTTAGCATAGCCGGTTTGTGTCCTCTAAGGGTTTCCTTTACGAAATCAGGTGTTAGTAGATAGGGGTGGGGGGGTTGTACGCACGCTCGGGGCGGAAGCCGGGCACGAAGTCGGGGCAGGGCGCGAAGGCGGTGGCGTTGGCGGCCGTGTGCGGCCAGCACACCCAGCTGTCAAACGTGCCCTCGCAGTACACCTCTGCAAACGATTAACACCGCCACTTTAGCACCAAGCTTCAACAGTAGCAGTTTTATTTAATCAACCGTAAAAATAAACGCGTATTTTCACCACCTATGTTATTTTAGGTTTTACTGTGGTGGCAATTAAATGTAAGTTACATCCTTCTTAGAGCATAATTTTTTTTATCCACAACGAGGAAGCTCTTAGCTTAATTTTTTGTAATTAAGCATTATTGAAAAACTAGGTACTTATCAAAACTATAAGGGCCTCTTTCACCATCTCAGAGTAAAATTCCAATTAGTTATTCCTGATTACCTCTACTTAGCAAGCAGGTAAAACATGAAGTATTTTAGCGTTATTCAAGGACGGTTAAATTCGATAAACTGCTACTCATGACTTTAAGCAACGACTAGCCTACTTCTATTTTGGACTTAATTATTTTATGTATTTAATTTTAATGTTATTTGACTATTATTTAATTTATCGTTTTAATTATTTGACAATTTTACATATTGAAATTGATATTATAAATTATCTGTATTGTATAACTTGTTGGCGCGTTGTACTTTCTGTAAGCCTTCAAGCAGATTATAAATAAATAAATAAATAGCCTACTTGACACTTTACTCAGAGTTGGTAAGCCCTAAATCTTCTTTGGCACTTTTATATGCTCAACCAGAACTTAATCGGTGTAATTTCTGTCTAAATGATCAGATACTGACCTGCGGGCGGCGCGGTGCTGTTGTTGGCGCGCGCGCAGGCCGCCTCGTGCTCCTCGCGCCGCGGGTCCTCCATGGCGCTCCTCCGCCTCACTGCATCTTCAACTCCTGCGCAGCGCGACGGATCTGCGGATAATCGGAAACACATTTGCTATCAGTAAGTAGTCCGGAAACTTGGAGTTTAATATTTGGCCCTATACTGCTTGACACAACTTGACGTACTTATTATCTATCTAAATATACAGGGTGACTGGAACTAAATCCGCCATAGCTAATACGCGTATAGAGGAGGTCATTTGCTAATTATTGAACCTTACTTTCTATGACTAAATATAAATAAAATAAATAAAATAAATAAATGACTAAAGTTTTATAGTTTAGGAGATATGTCAATTTTTATACTTTTTTCAGATTTTTCCGAAGATCATTGACAATCCATTATCACCATTAGCTTTTTTTTAAATCGAATTCGAACTTTTTTGTTGAACTTTGGCGGCTCGTGGCTAGTTATTCAATCATTATCTGGATCTGAAATTTATTTTATTTTATTTAACTAAAGGTTTATTCGATATATGGGTGTTTTCTATGTATAATAAGTATGTATTTACAAAAAAAAAAGTATTTAAGTATGTTTATATCCGTTGTCTAGTACCCATAGTACAAGCATTGCTTAGTTTGGGACTAGAAGCGCAGTGTAAAATGTCCAAGGATATTTATTTATTTTATTTTTTTTATTTTATTAGTATCAAATAAAAAAATCGGTTAAAATCATGCGAGAAAAAAAATTAAGCAGTTTTTAGGTAAAATTTCGGAAAAATCTGAAAAAAGTATAAAAATTGACATATTTCCTAAACTATAGAAAGAAAGGTTCAATAATTAGCAAATGACCTCCTCTATACGCGTATTAGCTATGGCGGGTTCAGTTCCAGTCACCCTGTATATGACTGACTGACTGACTGACATATCAACGCACAGCCTAAACGACTAAACGTAGGCACTTGAAATTTAGAAGGGACGTAGCTTAGGTACCGTAGAGGTGCACTAAGAAAGGAATTCCCGAAATTCCCACGGGAACGGGAATTAGCGGGAAAAAACATTTGTATGAAAAAATCTAAACCGCGTAAGATAGATAGATGAAGGGGGTAAAACGGGATCCACGCGTACGAAGTGGCAGGCGGCCGCTAGTCCATTATAAAGTTTTAAATCAAAGAAATGGTAAAAAAAGTCTAGTGTTTCTTTCAGTTAATAACCCTCCTCCTGGCGCAGTCGGGTAAAAAGAAGGATATTACATCACCTAATACGAATTATGTAAAAATGTATTAATCCAACGAGGTGCGGCGGAGAGGAGTGTGATAATTCAAGGTGAGTGAGCCACTCGAAGCACAATCTGCCTTTTCTATTTAAATGGTAATTCCGTCGCCGCCAGAGGACGCCACTTAGCCAATATACGGCGGGCGCTCGCACATGCTTTGATACGCGATACCGAGTGCGGATTCTAAATAACTTGTCAAGACGAACGATACGTTGATAATGAGATGTCTCGTGACCGAGTTGGATTATAGAGCTGTATTCAATTCCCGGGGAACGTTAGGTACCTACGAAGATAGTCCTGTCAACTATTTTTGTAAGTCGGGTTTTAGTTTTTTTAAACTTTTTATCCTGTTCCTAACTTTTTAGTCAATAAAATATACTAGTACATAAATAATTAAAATAAAATTAAGGTTGTATTTATGAGTTCACCAAGAATATTATTTGATCCCCTCTTGGATTGATATGCAAACATCTCCCTAAAGGCATCCAAATCAAACACGAAGCCGCGATAAATACGGAAGCGATATCGCAATCAAGTCTTAGTGGAAGTAGTGTAAATCATCGACTCGAGTGGAACCGGGTGTTCCTATAAGTTGCGCGGGAGGGGGAGGGGGAGGGTAAACAGCTCAAGTGTTTGTGCCGCGGATTACGCTACACTACAGCGGTGAACAGGCGCAGTGGCAGTAGCTTTCGGACCTTTGAATTAGATGACTTACAAATAAGTAGGATAAACAGCGACCTCCGTATGTGATTGCTAATGGAAACATAAAAATCTAACACCAGAAAGTACCCCAGGATTGTTTAACTCTCACTAGACCCTTTTGTGTAGGCTAACTACATGTGATAAGTCACTGGCCTAAGTCGTAATAGTGCAAAAAGTAATGTTTTCAATAAGTAAAATACTCTTTGATTAAACATTTTTGCAAGACAAATTGGGTGAGTTTACTGTGTTTGTGTGAGTTAGAACGTGACGCGCAATTAAAGCCCGCGTCCGATCGCGATCGCTTCTGCAGAGGATTTGGCGGATGACAAACAAAATACAACACAAACAGCGGCTTATTGGAAGCTCAAGTTACACAGCCGTCGCCTAGAGCCGGAAACTTAGAGTTTTGGCGGTTTCAAAGGGTTATTCAGGAGTACGCTTGTAATTTGATGCGGCTATTAACAGTTACTTTGGATCAATTCATCATGACAGCCGCGAAGCTATCTAATAATAATAATATTATCTTTTTTTTTTCATAACAAGGCAGGTATTTGACCACAATCGCACCTGGTGTTAATTGGGATGCAGTCTAGGATGGTTACATATCTGCCCTGTAAGTGCCTATTCACTCTCGCCTTGAAAGACAGCAGCAGGCAGCGAATTCATGTCCCTAGCTATTCTCATTATAAAAGAGTCATCGAAACGTTTAGTGCGAGCTAGTGGAATGTCAACAATATAGGGACGGTACGCTAACCTGCGTCTAGTTCCCCGGGGATGGAAGTACATAGGTAGTAGTAATATATTGCAATAGGAGTCCATTTCCCTGACGCGGGCGCTTATTGAATCTGGCCCTCATTATCCCGCGCCGCTGTAAATATTTAATCTCCTCCTCACTACTTAGAGAGAAGCTATTTTGTTTCCGTTCTTACACCCGAAACCTAATTGTTAACGTTTTATTTTATTGCTCTAATCCGCCTAAGTATAACTAAAATTTACCTACTTCATCAAAGATTAGTCTGGGTGTAGAAAAAACTGGTTAAACATGGTGTATTAACTCAAAAATAACGCATGAATGATTTTCTCTAGAAACAATGAGATAGAAAATTCGTTGAGTAATTGTAATAGAAAAGTCTTTGTGTCACATTGAAGATTCCAGGCCCGCGTTATTGCGGCGCTAATGGTGCCCTGTCACCTGGCCGCGCGTGATCCGACTCGCGATCGGAAGACAACCTTTTATTATCATATTATTTACGGGAACGTACCTACTTACTAATTATTTAGAACTATTTAGTGTAGATATTTAAGGTATGAGATGGTAGCAACAAATACGTATTAAATAACTTCACGTGTACTTCTGTTGCAGTGAGCAAGTCAAGAGCTACGGCGAGGGTGCTAGACCACTGCGGGCTGCTCGAGTCAACACAATCGCGCGAGCCAATATTGTCCCGACTTCTCGACCTGGTGCCTGCTCTCTGGCATGGGGCATGCGTTAGTAGTTGGTACAGCTGAGTAAGTATTGTGTAGCGTTACGTGAAGAATTCCACGCGAAAAATATATGATCGTTTCTGTAATTTGGAACTTGTGAACCATTTTGTATGTACTCGAATTATATACTAAATAGAAAATGATTGCGCACACACTCTACTACACTACGATATTATAATAACTACCTATAGTGACCTATTGGTCATTCCATTTGTTTTCCTCAGCAACCGCACGCTGCGCTGTCTACCCCGGGAGGCGCGCTCGAGCCATTTTAGAAATCGAACTCTGCTCCCACTGCCATCGGGCACGACACGTCACGAGCCACGGGCCACAGGGCTTGAGTCAATTATTCAAATGCCCGCACCGTTTAATGGAACCTCCACTTTTTCGCGAGATATAGCGCTGTTGTCGAAACGCCGATTCGACGTGATTTATGCCGCCCCGTCTTATGAAAGCGTCTAAATTTCAATTCATTTTGTGGAAGTGCCCCCTGCTGATGACTTGTTGAAAATGGATCGCCGCTGGCTTCTAAACGTTAAGATTTAATTGTTTTCTTCTGTCGAGGCTAGACTCGAAGAACTTAACAAGCATTAGTAATAGGTAGGTTAGGTTAGTTAATTGGTACGATTTTGGTCAACATTGTTAATTACATTGTTAATTTATGGTTGTTATGACTGTCATAAAAATAATATTCTACTACAATACATAGACATATACTCGTAGGTATAGGTATAGAGAGTACCTAAAGAGTCATTATTTACATTGTGAAATAATACTCAGTTCATTTATAACATTGTTCTGTAAGCCTGAGTCTGAGATGTTTTCGCGCAACAATATCATAGGACCTCCATGTTTACGAGGCGGTCGCCCGCTCTCCGTTTATGTCCGCGCCTTTACAGCGCAGCGCGCTGAAACCCAGGGAGGCAGCTTCGCGCGACGATTTGAGGACCGATTCAGTTTGTGACACGCGGACGGCGAAGCATTTGTAGTGGTCAAGCGACGACTGTTTCTTACAATGTAAAACTAGAGGTTTGTGCAGTTTATGAGTCGCATATCCTCACGTTATATGAACCCTAACACCTGGGTTATAAAATAGAAAACAATGTTTTCTGTGAAAGTGTTTGTATCACAACACAAAACATTATTAGCAGGTAAATAATTTTTGCGACACTGGGGTTTAAAGAAAAAAATACATACCTATACGTAAGAACTATACGTACAGTAATAGCTACTATGAACCATACGCCTAAATACAATTTTGTAAGGTCGTGCTAAATGAGGTCACGCGATATTTTATATGCTGAGTGCTGACTTGCAAGCAATGAAATGAATGATAGTTGTATAAATATGATTGTTACCTATTACCTAATGAAGTCCAAAACAGATTTTGTTGCTTATAGAGTTGTAGAGTTTACTGTAAATAAAAGCTTGTAAAAAGGAATGTTGGCAAAATATTCTTAGGTCTGGCATCGGAACACAATTTGCAACTGTCGATGTGTCGCACCCACATAATATTAGTGCCCCAACCCACACAAAGTGCAAATGGATTCTTAGAGTGGGGAGGTTGAGGGTGGGGATATGTCACCTCGCCAGTAAAGAGTTCCGTGTGGCCGCATCCGCCTCGCTTCA